GAATATATTACTATTTAGCAGTCTTAAGACTCAATGCTACTACTGCTAATAAATATTAATAAATCTTTAAAGGAATAATCACATCTGTTTTTTTTATTTTTATTTTAATAGTAAACTTCTGTTGTGCAGCACTTTGTTTGCCAAAAAATAAAAGGGTTTAATTTTCATTTGATTAGGATAAATTAAATGAATGTTTTATGCCTTCATCTGATTACCAGAAAAATTAAGAACATTTTATAGGGCCTTATTGTTTAATAAAGGACCCTATACAAAAAAAAAAAAAAGAATAGGTTTAAAATACAGGCATGTGGTTCTTAATTTCTTTTTATTAATTCACCATTTGTAAACTGATGTTTACTGTTCATTTTTTAGAAATATCAATAGCATTTGTATTAAAACTATATTCACTGAATGTAATAAAAAAAATCGAGAATCGAATCGAAAGCTTGCGTATCGAAATCGAATCGGGACATCTGAATCGATACCCAGTCCTACTGATAACTGTGATAATTTTGGTCACTATAATCGTGATAAGACATTACATCCCTAACTTGCACTAACCCATTTAAAGTCCCCATGAAATCTAAAGTATGAAGGTTCATACCTTCACTAGTATGAAGGTTAACCTTAAGCGGTATTTAATACACCGAGCCAGATGAATCGCCTTCGATTATGAATGCGATATTCCGTAGCTTGTCAGTGATCTATGGCTCGGTGCATTAAATGCTGCTCCATCTGAAAGCATGTGATGGAGATTTACTACTAATCACAGAACCGGCTTTACTGACAAGATGCGCATGACAATCACTTGCGATTCATCGTGCAGCCCTAATGAAAACTTGTGAACAGTGTTTATTCAAAATAGAAATCTTTTCTAACAATATAAGTCTTTACCATTACTTTATTAATTTAACATCCTTGTTGAATAAAAGTATTAATTTATTTTGGGAAAAAAAAAAAAAAAAAAAAAAGATACTGACCCCAAACTTTTGAAAGGTAGTGTATTGTTAAAAAAGGATTTCTATTTTAAATAAACGCTGGTCTTTTTAACTCTTTATTCAAAGAATCCTTGAAAAAAAAAAGAATCACAGGTAAAAATAAATAAATAAAAATGAAACCGCACAACTGTTTCCAAAATGAATTATAAATAAGCATAAATGATTTCTGAAGAATCATGTGACACTGAAGATTGGAGTAATGATTCATCAGCTTTGCATCACAGAAATACATTATATTTTAAAGTATATTAAAACAGAAAACCATTTTAAATTGTAATACCAGTAATACTGCACAATATTACTGTTTTGTTCTGTATTTTTGATCAAATAAATGAAGGCTTGATGATCAAAAGATATGCAATGTTTAAAACATTAAAATAGTAATGTTTCCAAACTTTTTACCAGTACTGTACTTCTGTATGATAACAGAAAGCTGGCCAGCAGAAAGAGCATCACAGCTTGAGCTAGTTTATATCTCATAAATTGTCAATGAAATTGATTTTACTGGCTAGCTAGCTACTGTATAAACACTTTTTGGTATTTACTAGCAAAACTTGAATCCCATAGATCAAATATATTTAGAATATCAAAACTTAGATGTAGTCTTTGCTTTTAAAAGTACTTAAGTACCAAAAGTAAATTTCCTTTATGTCAATGCACTGTTTTATTATTGTACGTAATACTTGCAATACTTCTGAAGCAACTTAGAATACATTACACCTACTGAATACACTGACTAGCTTGTAGTATTCTTTGGAATAAAGAGCTTTTAGAATGTTAAAAACCTATGGGGGAAAAGAAATTAACACCTTATACCCACCCCCACAAAAGCAGTATGGTAGTGATCTCACACAGCTCTGACAGTGTGTGCACCGAGCACACATCTATGTATAACCATTCATCCACATTTGAAACAGAGTGGACAGTGAAATCCTGTAAATACAGAGTGATAAGAAAAAAAATCAAACCTGCTTTAAAACCCAGCAACACAACTGTAGCTGTACAACTTTACAACAGCAACACTGCTTTAACAAAAAAGCAAAACAGCAAGACTTATTTGATATCAAAACAAAAATGATAAAATGCTGTCTAATCGCTCTCGTGGTACTTTGATGTTACACAGAGAACGGTCTGTGCAGTGCTGCTTCAAGTCCAACACCTATTGTGTTTTATTAGGATATGCACAACAGTTCTTCTGTGGCTTTATAGGTAATATTTTCACTTACACAATTGAGCAAAATCAGACAATATTGTGTCTAATATATACCACAATATTAACTTCCTGTTATTGAACTGTTGTAAATAAATATCACATTTGCAACTGGTCAGTGTTCAAAAAATGCTGAGAAATCACTTTATGAAGCCCTACAAGAGTGATTACTGATAAACTGTCTGAAAAAAAAGAAAAAAAAAAAAAAAAAAAGTCACGTTTTAGAGAAGAAAAAAAAAATCACCCACTGACTTTCAAAGCTGCTACTTTCTACTTCGAGGACCTTGATAGAAATGAAGTGGAGTGAAAAGTACAATATTTGTCTTTCAAATGTAGTGAAGTTAAAGTCATAAGTTCCCAGAAAAAATAATACTCAAGTAAAGTACAGATGCACAAAAAGTGTACTTAAGTACAATACTCAAGTAAATGTACTTAGTTACTGTCCGCCTCTGCATTTAAGTACCCAGTTCCTGCAATTTTGCAAATTTGCAGTTTATTCCCGTTAATTCCCATGGAAAGTTTCCAGTCTTGAAAATTCCCGGAATTTTGCAACCCTAATAGGGAATGATTCAGACAGCGTAAATATGCTTTCCCTTGGGGCAAAAGAAGTCTGGTAAAAGAGATAAAAAATGAGACCATTTAAAATCTAAAACTAGCACACTGCATTAAAAAAAACAAAAAAACAGACCTGGCAGATACTTTTACCCAAAGTGACGGGGAATCGACCATGACCTTGGCGTAGCTAGTGTCATGCTCTATTTTTTCAGATACACTACAGGAAAAGTCCATCCAGTTATTCAAAATATGCATCAAACCAGGTAAGCTTCATTTAGATTCTTGTCACACTTACTTTGGTTGGTCTGAACCAGAGTTTCGAAACCCTACCACAATTGGTCTATTTTCACATTGTACTTTAGGGTCTGAGGGAATGATTCAGACAGCGTAAATATGCTTTCCCTTGGGGCAAAAGAAGTCTGGTTTCACATTGTGCCATGCAAGCTGCCGTAGCGCACACAGTTTGCTCTAGTCCAGTGGCACAATAGCACAGAGCGGATCATATGCGTTAATCGGCACAGACCAGAAAACATATCGGACCCATTTGAATTCTACACAGAATGCAATTTATAGCGATATAGATGAGATTAGGAGGAGAAACAGTTAGACAAACAGCACTAAGATGTATAAGAGATAACACTGGTGGCATGCACCAACATAACACAATTTCCAAACTACACATCCGCAGCATCATTATAATCATGTTATTACACACAATAACGCTGCATGTTTAAAGGCACTTCAGTGGACCTTTTATGTAGCTAGGAGGCTGGTCAGCAAGCTAGTTCGACCTGTATTCTGCTACCGCAATTCTCTGATGATGCGGTAACTACAGCGGGGAAAAAAAATCTTCAGTCTGTACAATGATTGTAAACTATTTAAGACCCACTGAATCTGAATTTAAGACATTAAGACTTAAGTCCTTTTTAAGGAAAACTAAGAAATTTGTACTATTTTTGTTCTAAAACCTCTAAAAAACAGCAGTCTCTCACCTTGTCTCCTTGCCATCTTCACGCCCTTTAATGGTTGCAGAAGAGGGCAGGGGCTCTGTTGAGGGATATGGGTCAGAACCCCAGACCATCCGAGGCTCACTAGGAACTCTGTGTTCTCTGATTGGTCGGGTCAGATGATCAAAAGTGTCTGATCCAGAGCTGCTGTTGTCTGTGGGCTCTCGTCGTACCAGTTGTTTAGGAGGCATTCTCCCTGGTATTGAAATACAAAAATGACTACGACTTAAAACAGACCACACATATAGAACTCGGTGTAAAAAAAAAAAAAACGATGGAATTTAAATTGTCAGATGTAATGTTTTGGTGTAATGTATAGTGACTATAGATAAAAATTGGCAAAACTAAGGAGGAAAAACTGAATTAGATTAAAACAACATTGAGTGAAAATGTGTTACTGCATCTTGTAAATGTGTTACAGTGCATGGTTTTGTTACCAAATTTCTAGAAAGGAAAACAACTTTAGTATGCAAGACACACCGGGGTGCATAGGAGGCATGTCTATAGGTGGCCGCCCAGACATCATACGAGGATCCATGTAAGACTGCATCATTAGCCAGCGTGGGTCAAAGCCCATTGAGGCAAGGTGTTGGTGGTGGGGGCCGAGAGGTTGGTATAAGGATCTGTGCTGAGGGGGAACTGAACCCCCTGAGGGAGAGACTGGACCCCCTCCACCCTGCTGCTGCTGTTGCCACTGTTGTTGTTTAAGCTGTTCCTAAAGAATTTAAGAGAATACAAATTACATTCCAGTAAAGAAGGAATTACTACAAAGAATACTCATTTTCATTATCTACAGGGTTCCAACTAACATTTATGCTTAAAGCCATAACAATGTGTGAGCACCTGTTGTCTAAGGAACCTGGGTGGTAAAGACTTCTGGAACTGTTTTGAATATCCAGAGCTGACAGAAGAGCGAACAGCAGTCCCAGTGTCTCCCTCATTTTCCAGTTTAGTCGGAAGAGGTGCATCTTCGCTGACAGAATGATCGAGTCTGGATAAAGACAACTGAGGCTCCTCAACTAAAAGAGATAAAAAATGAGACCATTTAAAATCTAAAACTAGCACACTGCATTAAAAAAAACAAAAAAACAGACCTGAAACAGACTTCGCAGATACTTTTACCCAAAGTGACGGGGAATCGACCATGACCTTGGCGTAGCTAGTGTCATGCTCTATTTTTTCAGATACACTACAGGAAAAGTCCATCCAGTTATTCAAAATATGCATCAAACCAGGTAAGCTTCATTTAGATTCTTGTCACACTTACTTTGGTTGGTCTGAACCAGAGTTTCGAAACCCTACCACAATTGGTCTATTTTCACATTGTACTTTAGGGTCTGAATTAAGGTACGTTCATGTCATCTACATAAGCTGCAGCTGAAATATTTGAGATTCTTTAGATTTACAACCAAAATGTCAACTGTATAAGCAAATCAACTGCACCCCAAGCTAATTTTTTAATGCTCTTTAGAATTTTAATAGCTTATATGATTTCTATTTTCATTCATTTACCTCTGGGCTCCTCAGCACTGAAGTAGTCTCTCATTGGTTGTCTCTCCACCCGTCTATGCACCTCCTCTGTTACAGCAGTATCAACCTTGCTTTGGGGTTCTGGGGCAGTCCTGTGGACAGGAGGGCTAGGTTGTCGGGAAACAAATTGTGGCACCTCCTCCACAGTGGGCTCTGTCCTTTCATGGGTTGGCATGGGAGGGCAGGGTTGTTGTGCAGGGGAAGGTGGTGGTTGAGGCTGAGGGGGTGGAGTTTCAGCAGGTAGTTTAGGCACAGTTTCAGTCACTTCCTGGTGATCACCATGGGCTTGCGTAGTTGGTTTAGTAGTTTCTGTAGTCGAAGGCCGTCGTTTCTCCTCCAGTTGTTTTAGTTTCTCTTTGCATGCAGCAAGTCTCTGTTCTTCCATGCGGCGTTCCTCCTCCTCACGCCGTCTGCGAGCACGTTCTACTGCTTCCGACAGCTCTGACTGCTTCTTCCGTTTCTGTCGCCACGCTTCCGTTTCCTCCTCACCAGCAGGGGGTGCTGTACTAGGTAGCTTTGTAACACGGGGGCCACCACTTCCCACAGAACGTCCAACAGTTTGGCCCTACACAAAACCACAATGAAGCAAAAATAGGAAAAAAAGGCAACTTTGTCAAATCAGAGAGAGGACAACTCTTCTAATGCACGCCATACCTGTTGGTCTTGTGGAGGTACCATCTTGCTATAATGGACAATATTGCCAGGTGAGGTAGCCCTGAGGCCTCCACTTTCTGCCCATGAGCTCTTGCGGTCCCGCCTCTCCTCTTCTCCTTCCTTCCATCCCTCCTGAATATCAGCGTTTCTTGACCTCATGCGATCAACTTTAGTCATCCACTGCCTGCGTTTCAGCAAGAAAGTTGAGGGCCAATGTTCATTATGCCCCAAAACATTTTGTATGAAATAAAAACAAGTCAAAGATGAGTGCTTACCAGTTATTGCCTTTCTCCTTAGCAGAATGGTTCTCCTCATCATCACTAAAGTTCAGTTTCTCAGTATAGTCAACTTCCATTTGAGCACCTAATAAGACCAAAAATGGTGATTATATTAACAAATGGTTTAAAAATAAAATTAAATGTGGAAATACCCATTAACTCAATGTATTACAAAATTCATAATCACTTCATCTGATTTTTTCGTATCTTCTGATTTGCTTCCATGACCTTCAGAATATAAAACTATTCATAGCATGAGTAGCCATGGTGAGGACATTTGTACATCTTTATAGCTTTCGAATATTGAATTCTTGAAAAGGGTGAATTTATTATTCTTCCTTATTATTCACAACAACAACAATGAAACGGTGCAATGACAAACTCGCTTAAACATACTTAGAACAAAAATAAGACGGGTGATATACAGAACCCCCGCACATAACATGCATACAAAAATCGATTTATTGTGGCCACAAATTAAGAATTAAACCTACAACTTAATTCATGAATTAAATCTAAATGAGGGAATGAATTAGTACAAATTTGGCAACAATTTAATAAGACGAGTTAAATTAATGGGTTGTGGGACCAAATTCTTATTATGAGGCAACAATATACAGTGGGGAAAAAAAGTATTTAGTCAGCCACCAATTGTGCAAGTTCTCCCACTTAAAAAGATGAGAGAGGCCTGTAATTTTCATCATAGGTATACCTCAACTATGAGAGACAAAATGAGAAAAAAAATCCAGAAAATCACATTGTAGGATTTTTAAAGAATTAATTGGTAAATTCCTCGGTAAAATAAGTTTCTGATTTGCTTCCATGACCTTCAGAATATAAAACTATTCATAGCATGAGAAGCCACGGTGAGGACATTTGTACATCTTTATAGCTTTCGAATATTGAATTCTTGAAAAGGGTGAATTTATTATTCTTCCTTATTATTCACAACAACAACAACAATGAAACGGTGCAATGACAAACTCGCTTAAACATACTTAGAACAAAAATAAGACGGGTGATATACAGAACCCCCGCACATAACATGCATACAAAAATCGATTTATTGTGGCCACAAATTAAGAATTAAACCTACAACTTAATTCATGAATTAAATCTAAATGAGGGAATGAATTAGTACAAATTTGGCAACAATTTAATAAGACGAGTTAAATTAATGGGTTGTGGGACCAAATTCTTATTATGAGGCAACAATATATGTACTCTGTGTGATTGGCTTTCGGCCCTTTGTATTAAACAATGCATACATAAATGATGCGTTTTATTTATAATTGTTTAAGCAACTTAATTTTACTTGTTTCTAAACATTATTTTAAACATTATTCGAAAAATAATTTTTCCCAGTCATGTTATTTTATTTTTTATTTGAATATGTACTCTGTGTGATTGGCTTTCGGCCCTTTGTATTAAACAATGCATACATAAATGATGCCGTTTTATTTATAATTGTTTAAGCAACTTAATTTTACTTGTTTCTAAACATTATTTTAAACATTATTCGAAAAATAATTTTTCCCAGTCATGTTATTTTATTTTTTATTTGAATAAACGTGCATTAGTAATATTTTGCTCGATGCGCACTCTTGTGGCCTCGGGAGACAAGCCAAAATCTTTTTCCCCGCCTAACTGAAATTATGCCTTTTAAATTCAAATATTGATCATATTTAAGTACAAAATTCTAATTTAGTTTTTCAGCCATTTTGACAGCCCTACTCCTTACTCTATATTCACATACTTAAATCCGACTCCTGCTGCTCCTGCTATATGGAGCAAACAAAAAAAAAGCGTATGTATGTATATATATATATATATATATATATATACAGTGGGTACATTGCTGGAACTATCGGTTATCGTCAAAAATCCATGCCCGGATGGTTCCATGGTTTTCCCGGGTTGCGTCCATTGCTGGAGTGGCTGAGAAGGGTCTGCTGTCATTATACAGTGCTAGAGCGGCCTCTAGTGGTTGAAATCATTGACAGCACATGCTATTTGTTTAGACACGTGCAGAGCGGGAAACTTCAAACTTCAGTGTGTGTGATTCCGGTGAGTTCTCCTAGACTCAGCGCTGCGCTTTTATTTTGATTAGATAATTATCAAGCGTTCAAGAATAGAAGCAGTTCAAGTCTGAGAGTATACATACAATATCCATAAGTATATGTTTTTAATGCTATAGCCTTTGTGTATATATTTAAAGATGTGCATCTTTAAGCATGACAGTTGAAATGAAATGGTAACACTTTAAAATAAGAGTCCATTTGTAGCATTAAGATTAATGAAAGCTGTGTAAGTATTGTTCCTTGTTAGAGTGTGTTAATTTCAACATTTACTATTATTATTATTTTTACTACTACTACTA